TAGTTGTTGAGATATTTTAATTTTAAAATTAAAAAAATTTCACTAAAAATGATTTGTCCCTTTTCTATTGACTTCACTCCATATATGTTTCAGTTGTTTTCTGTTAGATACGATCCATGTTGTATCATTCATGTAAGCTATGACTGAGGTATTGAAGGATGTAGTGTTGTAAGTTTGTAGGTAGGTAGAGGATATTTGGTAATCTTGATATTTTGATATAATTCAAGTTGTAGTATATTCTCCAAAGGATTGATGATATGGTTTTTCCCTAGTCCAATCCGTTGTGAACTGGGTAAGGTGGTGTCCTTCCTAGTCGGGTTAGTACTTGATTGTTGCAGTTTTAAAGAATATTTGTTAGTAGTTTTATAATTGTTTCTGGTAGGTATATTCTTTGTAATCTTTAATTGGAAGTTTTAGTTGTAATTTTGGGTCTAATTCTGTGAGTTGACTTTGAAGATCCTCTATACTTGATAGTAATGCTAGTTTTGTATCTTTATTAGGTGAGCTAAGATTTTTTTTTTCTGAGATTTGTATCCAGTCTGTTGGTAGTTGATGGAAGAAATAATATGTACATAATTCACGAGCTATGTCGACTAACTGCTTGGGAGATGTAATAGGTATTGTTAAGTTCATTTCTTTAATTTGAGTATATTCTACTAATAGGTTTGGTTTGTTAGTGTAGTTGACTTCAACATAGTTGATGGGTAATGAATCTGGTGTGCAGTATTCATTTTAAATTTTGGCTAAAAATTGCAAGGCACTTGTTTTGTCCTTAATAGGGAAATTATAGCTTCTAGCTGTAATTACTTGTGAGGGTTGTAGTGAAAGTAGTTTTTTATGGATAATGAAGTCACTTAGAAGCTTTTTAAATTTATAATGGTGTCAGAGTTTGGCTACTAGGTCTCTAAATTCACTGTCATTCTTAGGGTTGTATAGAAATAGGTGCCTGACTTCTTGGATAAGTGCTTGGAGTGTTGAGAGTAAATCAAGTTTTTTAGGTAATAGATCAAAGTATGATACAGATAGTTTGTCATTTAATATATAATACTTTTGAAGTTTCCTGATAAGAATTGTAGTTTGGCTCTATCTCTGATTAGAAAAAGTTTTCATATCAAGTGGTGTACTTGCCCAGGGTGGCTAGGCAGAGGTATGTAGATGTTTTCGAAATATGAATCTAGTAAGTTTCTAAATGTATATACTAGTTTTAGGGTTTGGGCAACTGATGCAGTTTTGTAGTTATCTTTGATTGGTAAAGTAAATGGTAATATATCTGCTATATCTACTGGGATATCTTCGGGAAGTCTTGATAGTTCTAGCCTGTTAGCTGATTGGGTTTCGCTGATTATGCCTTGTACCTGTTCGAACTGCATGGTTGTTTTGATTTTGCTAAAGTTGATGAGGTAGAAAATATGTTGAGCACTAGCATGATCACCACATTGAGCTAGATTTAGTGAAATTAAGCTATCAATTTTTATTTTTTTTCTTAATTTGTCATAAATTTGGTCATAGTTGTTCTTATTTATTAGCATAGTATTGTGTTTGCGTTTATACTTTTCTAGTACTATATTCATCAGGGTATTGAATTCTACTTGGTAATCTGGTTGTATATTTTTATCTCTTGAAAAGGATTTAAAAAATGCTATGTCTCTATATTTGAGCTTATTTGCTATAGCTTTAGGTATATTTATAAAAGGTATTGCTATTTGGATTTTGTGATTAATAAACTCTTTGAAGGCTATCTCATTGTCAAGTGCATGTAGTATTTTATCATTGTCCCAAATACTGTGATCAAATACTTTAGATTTATATTTTTTTAATTCATTAGTTAGTTCTTCAATCCACAGGTTGTTTGAATAGCTATTGGTTTGTAAGAATCTCCTTGCAGCTGCCTAACTATATAGACATTTATTTGTTTGTTGCTAACTTGCCAATTGCTGTTAGGATATTGTATCACCTTCTGGTAGTAGGTTTAATTTAGATATGATATTATCAGATAATTCTATTGGTTGGTTTTGGTCACTGATTTCATGATTAACTAAATCATTGTTGGTCATTGTAGAATTTGGGCTGGGTTCAACCAGATTGGTTTCTGTTGTTTGGGTAACTATCATTGTGTCCTGGGGCATGGAAATATTTTTTTGAATTGGGTTATGGGGCATGAGAATATTTTTCTGAATTGGTGTAAGGATTGATTGTTGTGATGATGACGTAATTTGTTTTGTTTTGATAGCTGAATAGGCTTTAATATTGTTTGCTTCGCTGTCAACATTGCTATTCATATTTTGAGAAGAGGAATTTGAGTTTATTTCATATTCTGAAATTTGCTGCTTATCTATTAATGTTGGTGTTGTTGTGGTGCACTAGGGATTTTGGGAGTGGATAGACATGTTATCGCTTTTGATACATTTGTTGGGGTGACATTCATTGACTAGGTGGAGTGACTGTGCACCCTCTAGGTTGGTGGTTGTAGGAGGTTCCAGAAGATGATAGTTGTTTCTTTTGCTAGTTTTGTTGTTGTTGGTTTGTTTTACTTTGTATTAGTTCAGTTTAGTTAGATGTAATTTAATTTTATTCTAATTTCTTTCTGTGCGGTGCTTATTATTTTTGTTTATTTATAGAAATGCAGGGATATAGAAAAGAGTTTTTTTTTGACTTATCTAAATTTATATGTAAAATTTGGCAAAAAAAATATATTTCTTTAATTTATTCAAAAAAATAAATATAAAATATAATTTTAAATATAAAACTTATATTATTTAGTATTTGATACTTTTTTTATAAAAATTATAAGCTATATATCAAGTAGTTTTAAAAGAATCTTAAGCTAAAGTTGTTCAATTCTTCTCTATATTTTTTAAGTCAAATAACTGACTTATTTAAAGTAATAATATGATTGGCTAAAGCAATCTTTTGAAAATTAAAGAAAGTTCTACTAAGTAAAGATCTTTTCTAACTTTAGAAAAACTTGTAGAGGAGGTTTTTAGAATCCTAATAGTAGTTAAATCATCTAAATCAACTTGTAGATCCCAAGATACTTGGGGTTAAAGGCACAAATATAGGGATCTGCAAAGTTACTATTATACAAAGGGCAATAGTTTATTAGATGATTATCTTTTGTGTAATAGTAACTTTGCAAATCCTTATGTTTGCGCCTTTAACCCCAAGTATCTTGGGATTCACAAGCTGATTTGAATGATTTAACTACCGTTAGAATCCTAAAAATCTCCTTTACAAGTTTTTTTTAAGACTGGAAAAGACCTTTACTTAGTAGAACTTTTTTTAATTTTCAAAAGATTGCTTTAGCCAATTATATTATTACTTTAATTTTATAGAGGTTGTAAAGACAAAAAATACACCAACTTTAAAGCAAGATTCTTTTAAAACTATTTTTTTTTTTTTTTTTTTTTAAATAAGGTCTTTTCCTTAATTTCTTTATTATTTATTATACAGATTTTTACAAAGTAAGTTTATATAATTTTTTGGAGGAAGTGGAGATGGAGCTACTTTACTCTAAACCTTAACCTTAGCTAGGTAGGTTGAAAAATCTCTAGACTATGAATCAAAGATATAAGAATAATAGAGTAGCAATGGTTGAAATTCATACTCTTAGTAACTTATCCATGAATGAAATTGTTGTAGTTCTAAACAAAAGTATCAGCAAAGATATTCTTGAAATAAAACTACATTTTACAAAAGGAATCAGATCGCACTTAGAAATTATCTTTAAAACTAATGAGGATGTACAAAAATATAGTATAGAAGAAATTAACTTGTTTAATCAAACCTTCTTAGGCTATATTCCTACTAATAGTAGAACCTTATATCTCTCAATCAAACTTAAAAATGTTCTAATTAATTTTCAAGAAGATATCACAAAAGAAATTAAAGATACCTTCGAACATGTAGAGAAAATTTCTTCAACTAAACTGCTTGTTTTTGAGAGCACTTCAATATTAAGTAACCAATAGATAGTGATTTTTGATACTACTGATAATCCTGAGATAACCAAACGGATTTCAAGATTCATAACAATTATGGACCAAAAAGTCATCACAGAATAGAAAGAAGCACCTAAACTTTGCTTCTTTTGTGATACAGAAGGTTACATCAAAAGAGACTATCACCAATATAAAGAAGCACAAAAACTCAAGGCAGAATATAAAATATATAAAAAAAACAAAGCAACTCTGTTGGAAAACTTAGAACTATATAATTCGAAAGATATCAATATCAACAATAACACAATTTCAGTACAAATGTTAGAAAATAATCGTGAAAATGAACAAGAACAACCGATTCAAGAGAAGATCAGCTTACTTCAAAAAGAGTCAATAACACAAAACAATACAACAAATGTTCAACAAGAAGTATTTTCTGATCTGGATATTAGTGATGTTGACAACCACATGACTGATCTCGATACCTTACTTCAAGAGGAAAAAAAATCAAGAAAACTCAATTATAGCTAATAATACAACAAACAATATACAACAAGAGTTAGCATTTATAGTAGTGAGTAATAAAAAACAAAAAAATAAAAAAAGTAATAATGAAAATGTTTGTAACAATAATCACTTTGTCTCCTATATAAACAGAAACAAAACACAAAGTCAAACCAAACCAAGTAACATTTCTAATACATCTAGTTAATATGACTAATCAGAAAATTAAAATTGCTACTCTTAATGTAAAAGAGCTTAATAATTTATTAAAAAGACAACAAACATTAATTTTACTAAAATCCTATAAATATGATATTATATTTTTTCAAGAAACAAATCTTACAAATGAAAAAATACGTGATTTTGTCAAACAACAATGGAGTTACGATTCTATATAGACAGATAAAACAGCAATATTGGCAGGAAATAAACTTATAAAATTTACTAATACAGAAATAACACAAGAAGGTAGAGTTCTGATAACTCAATGCAAGATCAAACAAAGAATATTCAATATAACCAACATTTATACCCCACCTCATATACAAGAAAGATTACAATTCTTTAACAATTGGTCTTTAAAAATTAAACCTAACTTGATAAATATAATAGCTGGAGATTTTAATACAAATTTAAGTATTACATTAGATAGAATTAGCCAAACACCACCATGTAATGATCCTTCATGCCAAGTTTTAGAAGCAAAATTATATAACTTCATTGATATGGCTACTCATATAGGGATACATTCCTTTCTTACTTTCCAACAAAATGTATATAATGGTAATATAATGACAACCAAGCTTGATTATATATTTGTACATGAAGACTACATAAGTACCTATTAATCAATTACTACAAAATATAGAAATTCAGATCATCAATTAGTAGAAGGCATATTAAACTTTAGTAATAATGCACCTCCATCATCATTATGGAAATACAATAAAAGACAAATGTTAAATCAAAACTGAAATTATAACAGAATTGAAAGAAGTGAATGAAGAAGACTGGAACCTTTACAAAATAAGAATCCAATCAATATTTCGAGCATTCCGATTACCTCACACTCCAGAAATGCAAATTGATAAACTTAATCAACGAATAACTAATATAAATACTAAACTAGCAGCTAACCCACATCTTAATGATCTTTATTGTTTGAAAATGCAGCTTACTACACAACTTCAACAGGAATTAGAATCTCTTGCCAAAAAATGGCAAATCAGATCAAAAACCCGTTGGATAGAAAGTGGAGAAAAATCCACAAAATATTTCTTTTCTAAATACCAGCAAAAACACTCATATTCTGCTTTAACTAAAATTCAAATCCCACATATACCTCAGAAAAAAGATCTAAGTACAATTTTACATCATATTCAAAAGACATATAAAGAGATATATCAAAAAGAGGAATATGACCTAAATGCAGCTGATGTTTTAACCTCCAATCTTAACCAAGTCACACCAACTCAAAATACAATGCTAACAAAACAAATAACAGAAGAGGAGGTATCAAAAGTTATTCAACAATTGCCAAATAATAAGACTCCCGGTGCAGATGGACTTACATATGAGTTCTATAAAGATACTATTGAATTCATAACCCTAATTCTTGTTAAAATTTTTAATAAAGCTCTTAATTCTGGAAAACTTCCTAGTTCGTGGTGTAAAAATCTCATTATCCTCATTTCAAAAAAATCAAACAACTTAGAAAATGTAAATAACTGGAGACCTATCTCCTTAGTAAACTGTGACGCCAAAATCTTTATGAAAATTTTGGCAAACCGGTTAAACCCAATATGTCACAAAATAATTGGCCCATATCAACAAGGTTTTATTGCAGGAAGATCAATTACAGATGTTGCACTTGATATAATTACCACAATGCGAAACATTACAGACTCAAATGAAACTAACTGGTTAATGTTTCTGGACCAGCAAAAAGCTTTTGATCGAGTAAATCTTCAGTTCCTCATATTAACTCTACAACGAATGAGGTTTTCATCTATTTTTACTTCAGTAATCACAAACCTTTTCAACAAACAACATGCACATATTATGGACAATGGACTACTTTCAGCACCGTTTGATATGAATAGAGGTGTACAACAGGGTGACCCTCTTTCACCTTTATTATACCTTCTAGCATTTGAACCTTTTTTTACAAAAACTCACTAATAGAATTCAAGGTATCCATATACAAAATTACTCATTTAGAACAGCAGCATATGCTGATGATCTAACCATAGGGCTGGGCTCAAATACAGATTGGATTATTTTTAACGAAATTTTAACATTATATGAAAAAGCCTCTAATGCGCGTGTAAACAAACATAGATCTATATTTGTACCTCTTACAGAAAAAGCCAAAAGAGCTAAACTTACAGGAATAGAGAACTTCAAAGTTCTTAAACACGATGAACCTATCTCAATACTAGGATATACAGTAAATAGCAAGGGATATGCCCCTAGCTCACTCTGGCCTAACACCATTCAGAAGCTAAAACAAATTTTAGATGATATAGCTACACGAAATTTATCCCTTAAGGGTCGCATTCTTGTTGTCAATACATTAGTTATATCTCGTATTTGGTACACAGCCACTCTTCTGCCTCCTTCATATAAACAAATCTCCGAACTGAATAAACTCATAATGAAAAGTATCAAATGCAATTCAAATACACTACCACGATACTCAATATTCCAACAAGCATATTCTACACATGGCCTACAAGCACCTGTGCTCACAGATATATTAGCAGCACGTATGATTAATACATGGATCAAACTCTTAACTGGAAACTCCCTATGGGCAAAAATAGAACGAGATATTATAACACAGCAAATTTCTAACAATAGAGGAGTCACAATAAACATAGCTTTATCTTCCAGTCCTATAAAAACTAAAGCCTGGCCTGACAGATGGAAACCCTTCGTCAAGGCTTGGAAAAAAATAGAAGGGTCAATCGGCAAAAATAAAGAACTATGGCCCTGGACCCCGAATCTATATCACTAGCAAATGAACAGGGTAATACATATTCGGTTAAAAAAATAGTGGAGTTTCTTAGAAACAAGTCAATTAGTACATCGATTACACAGAACAATCCAACAAAAAAAATATTCAAATTTAGTGACGCCATTTCATTGTAACTGGATACCTAATAAAAGAACAGATATCCTATGGAGACTGCTTCACAGAGCACTTCCACTAGGCTATCGCCTAAGACATATGAATACAGCAGAAAATGGTAATTGCATATGGTGTGAAGAACTTCAAACTATCGAACACTTTACTTTTGAATGCCCCATCAGTCAACATGTTTGGAATATAGGTTATCAAATGTTAAATGATACTTCAAATATAACAATACCCACCTCTTTCAATGATATTATATTTTGTACTCAACTCTCCTCAGCAAGTATTAAAAGAGCAGTCAAATGGTTAAATATTAATATTGTTTATGAAATCTGGCGCCTATACACCTCTACTAAATGGGGTAATAATATAACAAACTTTACTAATATCCCGGTCATTATAACACACCATTTAAATAGAGAACTCATGGTTCTCCAACAACTTCCCCAAACTGTAAATAAAGGTCTTCATTTGACCTTAAAATTTCTTAAAATTATAAAATAACATGTAAAATCTTCACTGTACATAATAAAGCGCCATAAGCGCACCTTATATATTAAGGTAAATTCAAAAAAAAAAAAAAAAAAAAAAATATGTAAGTTATATTACATCTATCGATGGTCAGCATCTGAGTAGAGGAGTGCTAAATTTTCTTAAGGTCGTTCGAAGTTGATTCTTCGGTTAACATCATCCCCCCTCCCTCCTCTGAAGTCTCCCCCGATAAACGAACAACCAATCAAAACGCTGGATAACTTTCGCCAATTACTTGATTTACGTCGACCAATGAAATTGGCCCATTTTTATATGTTCGTTTCATTTTACCCCCTCCCCCCTCCCTCTCCCAAGAGTTCTAAAGGTGATGTTAACCGAAGAATTAACTTCGAACGGCCTAAAGAGCGTGAAGAAAGTTATCCCGTAATAGCTGTCAAACATTCTTTGATTTTAATGTTTCTACAAAAGAGTAAGCTTAACACTTTAAGTCTTTTAAATAATAAACTTGGTTCTTTTGGAGGAAAAGCAATAGCAAATGCTCTTTTCAAAAACAAGTATCTTGACGATATCTGAGTCCGAGTCCTAATAAAAAAACATTGTCAGAAAACTTCTAAAGATCTCAAAAAAATAAAAAAAAATAAAAGAAAAACACCAAAAATTTAAGAAAAGTCACAAAAGAACTCCAAAAAAGTCGCCAAAGAACTCTAAAAAGAATTTCAAAAAAAAATAAAGAACATTTTTTTTTGTGAAAATGGAATGGAAATTAAAAACATTTTGATTTTAACGAATATGGAAATTGAAAGCGATTTAACCAATCATATGTTTTTAATTTTTACGAAAATGGAAAACGGAAATTAAAAATATACAATTTAACCAATCATTTTTTTCAACTTTTCTTTTGCTTCTGTTAAATAAAGGTTAACAAGAATGGCTCACGCTCGAATCAGAACCTTAACTATCGACCCACCTTTTGCAGCTTGGCGGCTACGTACGTACGTGGTAGTGGTATGAAATTGGTAGGAGGCATTTTTTTTTAATATAATATTAAATTTTCTTATTTACGTGCTCAAAAAAAATGGGAAATTCTATTTTCACCAGGGTTAAAGTAACCTTATAAACTATGACTTTAACCCGGGTGAGAATAGAATTTCTTCAGAAATTTTTTTTTTTAATCATAGCATCTAAAGTAGCCACCCTATCTAAGTAACTACTTTAAATATATAAAGTAGCTACTCCAGATATTTGAGTTACACTATTTAAAGTAGCTACTTAAATATGGTGATTACTTTAGATGCAACAACACTCGTTCAATTACATCAAATTTACTTTTATCATTTCATTAAAATTATTATGGAGGGTTATTTTTATTAATCAAACACGATCTCGAAATGGATGATAAAAAATTTTTTAAGGGAAATTTACATCACATGACTGCTAAAATATACACGTGACACGTGAGTTCAAAAAATTTCGTTATGTGGAAAACCGATTCGTTTCATTTATTCTCCTTTTCGTATTATTTTTGTTAAAAATATTATTAATAATACTGTTCCAATTATTATTCCTTCTAGGATTTCGTATTGGATTTTGTTCATTCGCTTTTTCTCGTCTTTTGTAAAGTGTTTGATTTGACTATTTTTCCTTGTTCTGTGCTTAGGGATAGTCAGTAATAGCTAAAACAAAATTGATGTTTACTTTGAACAATAAATTAAGAGACCTTCGATTTGATCTTTTTTAAATCTAGTCATTTTAATTTAAAATTTGCGCATTTGTGACTTTTGTAGAGATTCGATCCGGTCAGTAAATATAATGATTTAAGAAAATTTAAATTAAATAACTGAATTGTTTATTCAATTAAAGTATGATATTGCGGCAGAAAATGAAATAAAATATAATACTGTATAATAATTATTTTTTTTTAATAACATTAATTATTTGAAAAATGTAATTGTAAAATTTAATTAAATGAATTAAATGCATTGAGCGAGCTCACTATTTTTTTACAATTAATAGAATCGAATTTTTTTTTATAAATGCTACTCCAAAAGATGATTATTAATTAGAAAAAATACAGTTACCAGTATTACATCAAAATGACTATATTAACTGATGAATGCTTTTTAGAAATTATTCAATATCTTAAATATGATTCCACTTTATTTAGCTGCCTCTTGGTAAACCGGTTATTTTGCTGATTTACTGTACCTGTGTTATGGGCTGATCCTTTTAACAAGAAATCCAAACGTTCTATAAATATTATTTCTATTTACTTTTTTTTCTTAATGAACAAGAAAAAGGTCAAATTTTCACAAGCACATATCATATTGATCTGTCAAGCATTCCCTATAAACCATTATTTGATTATGCTGATTTTTTAGTAAATTATTCTTCCTACAACATAAATAATCTGCTTCATTATGGTACCAAAAAACTCAAGATTTATCAAAACCTAGTTTAGAAATTCCAACGCTCATAGCAATTCAAAATATGTTGATTCGTAGATGTAAACGTATCAAAAGGTTATTCATATATGAGACTGAATCTAGCAAGTCATTCCCATAATCACCTAGTTGTTTATTTTCTTTATCAGAATTAAGAGAATGTGAATTTAGTTTTGTTGCTTTAATGGTCGATGTACTAATGTAGATAATTTTATTAATGTAATTTCTATAAATTGCAAAAAAATACAAAGCGCTAGTATTACAGTTTATAATGATGATATACTACCAAGTTGCCAGGCACTATTTTTAAAATTAATTAGTACAACTGAGCTCAAGGAGCTCAAGCTAAGTTATTTAGTTACGCAAAGCTTTACTATGCTACGAAATAAGATGCTGCGAGCAAAATCCCAAAGCTTGAGAAAACTCGAATTACAAGAAATTTGCTTTAAGAAAGATAATCTAACAATTCTTATCGTTATGCCAAACTTGGAAATTTTATCAATAAAGCATTCATCTGGAGATCCTTTTGGCGAAGAAAAAAATAAATTTCAAAATCTTAAAAGATTAGAATTGGTTAATAATTCAACTGAATTAAATAGAGCTATATTAAATACTGAATGTGAATCACTAAAATTTTTTGTAATATATGAAAGGGAATTAATCGAAGAAGAAAATGATGAATTTATTTCTTTGCTAAGTCGAAACATGTCTTAATAATTTCATTAGCCTCTAAGAATTTCTCTCTTATACAAAGTTTATCAGAATCATGATTATAATAGACATATTTCCATCGATTATAAAGGTTTAAATAAATTTCTTTTGCAGTGGCCGTTTCTGTGGAATTGGGTCCATGCATTTTTCAGCTAATCTGATATAGCAAACCACGAATAATCTTGATTGCAAGATCATTATCAAATGATAAACCATCACAATGTCTCTGTCCGGTTGACATTTCCGCCATAATAACACCTAGCCCATAAATATCAGCAGCTGGTGTATATCTTCTGCCTTGTAAAACTTCAGGCGCAACATAAGGCATAACTCCCAAAATTTTATCATTAGATTCATTATTTGCTATTTTCATCAATTTTTTTCGATAATACAAGGTCTGCAATATAAGAAAATACAGATTCGCTAATATTATTTTGTAAAATATTTCCGCTATGAAAATCACTATGAATATATCCTGCCTTAAGTTGTGATAGTTTACGTTCCCATATAAGATTTTTAAAGTTCTCTTTTAAAAACTTATTAAGACTTCCATTATCAGCAAATTGAAGCACCATCAGATATTCGCCATCCTCGGATTTAAAAAGTTCATGAATTTTTGTAGGTTTAGTTAATCCATATATCCCTAATTCACTACCCATTAATCTACATTACGCATGATTTTTAATAATTCAAGGACTAAAAATTTTATATTTAAATCAGTATTAACTAAAATTTATTTTAATAAAACCATTTAAGAAAATTGGTAAAAAAAAAGAACAAAAGCTTACAAATGACTGTGTTTCTTATATTTGTTAATGTCTTTGTCAGAATGGTTAATCATAAGAGATTGAATTTTTTTTATAAGCGTGTTAATGCAATTTGTATTAGTAACATACGTATTTCGAATGAATGCTTATTCTGCCCAAATTAAACTCCAATTCTGCCCAAAATTTTTACTCAAATTTTTATTCTAAATTTGTACTTTAATTAATCCTGCCTAAATTTATGTTCTAATTCTGCCCAAATTTGAAAACATGTTCGCATTCCATTTTTCAATTTTCAGTTGAGAGACAATCAATTCGAAAATCATTACACAAATTATTCAATAAGTTGTCGCGCGAAACCAGGATCGGGAGAAATCTACACAGATACCATTTCAGTCACGGGAAACCATATTCTTCATTGCAATCCATTTCTTGTCTGACTGCTATAGATGGTTAGCTAGCATCACTCAGTTCCGATGAATCTGACTCAAAATTCTGGGGTCCTGCAAAAAACATTAAATCTACGAAACATATCTGTATTTAGAAATGATCGACAAATTAAGTCCTTAACGATCAGTGATTATCATTTTATCTGCCCGATAAAAAATTTGATGAAAAAGAATGAAAATTACCAAATATTTAACATTGAGGCCTTTAAATTTATATTGGGACACTAATTTTTGTGCCTAAAAAACCTATTTTTACTATCGTTTGTTATAGCATCTTCGATTTTACAGATGTATGCGTTCATTTATATTTGTTTAAAAAATATTGAATGATGATAAGTCATGCGGACCAATCAATTCCAAGATTTTGCATTTGTCCCTAGTACCTACCTTTTAAAGTATTGTTCGGGGTGCTACACAAAGTCACGATGACAGATTACCCAATCATATGCTAAGAATCGCACAGACACATTAACTTGCCTGTAAACCATACACTACGTTGTACATTATTTATACGTAACTTTCCCTTCAATAAACTCTTTTTCTGTCGATCAATTTAACGATAACCTTGTTCTAAAGAATACTCTTAAGCTGTAAATCTCGGATTGCATTGAAAGTTTATGAATTTTTCTTGGGTTTACGTTCAATATGATGATAAAAACAGTCTTGAAAGCAACAATAAATTGGTAAATAATAAAATTTATTGATGAAATGCATTATTTTTATTCGTTTATGTTTTCTAATTTTTTTTCTGAAGGATGCATCATTCAAATTTGAACTTAATCCTAAATCGTTTGATCTTGGAACACCCATAGAGAATTTACCCTTAGAAAAATTTACGGTATATTAATTTCGATTAAGTAATTATCATTGAATAATGATTTTTAATTATATATATTTCTCTAGGCTTTTTTTACACATGCATCAGTATTCAGTTGTAATCTACATCGATTCATCCAATTTCTCGTAAAACTATCCGATAAAGAGTCTTTAAAATTAATTTTGACACCAGAAAATACCATTTATTGGTATGAACAAGGTGCTAAAGATACTTGGACATCAAAAATTGCCAACAAATTAGTGGAACAAGCGGTTAAAGAAAAGATCACATTTAAGGAACCAGAGGTATATGTGATATATGCTTTAATATTGGAAAATTAAAGCAATGATTAAATATTAGTGTGTTATACATGCCATGGTGGGAAGAGAATAACTTAATTTAGGTATTTCTTTCCATCTTGGAATATAGGTGGAGTTATTGAGCTAAAGGTTTCGCGGGAAACTGGTTCCTTTAGTTTTTATTTCTTTACTTATAATAAAGACTTGTTAATTATGAGCTTTTGCTTAAGATCGAGCATAAACAAAATATTTATTCAATTATTAATATTACTGTACTTATCTTTTGTTTAGGCAAACCTGAAAGTTAAATTTTTTTGGCATAACTTGGGTCAGTGGAATTCTGGGCTCAAAAGCACAGAACAATTTCTTAATTTGTCAGAAAATATTGAACACATTAAAAGGCAAAAAAAAGAAGAAGACATGCATAATCGTTTTTGGGAAAATATCAAGGTATAAACTTGCACAAATTTAGGCTGCAAAATTTATTTAACTAACTTTATGCTTAAAATAGAAACTGAAGTCAAATGACCAATTCTACGAAATTACTACCATAAATAACAAAACCGAGCTACTAGACCAAACAACTATTAATAAATGCCATGATGCTATTTTAGAAACGAATTTAGTAGACCTCCCTCCTAATCATCCTCTTAAATCATGGCATGCCATTAAATATCTAATTCCTCTACATACTTATGTACGAGCTAAGGAAGACTTCGATGTGCTTTTTAATTTTAATTTTAATTTTGACCCTCCCGAAGGAGTTGAAAGTTGGATAGACAATATTTTGGATAATGAAATTGAAGAAATAACACGACCAGAGTTGAAGGGAGTCGATGAACGTTTTTTTAAGAATAGTGTCGAGGAACTGTAAGTATATATATTTTGGATCCATTAATGTAATTCTTGTACTAACAAATTTTAATTAGACTTAAATTAATTGATAAATGCCAAAAACAAAATCTAAAAGAAATTAATGAAGCAACTTGGCTGCAGATGTTATACCCTCAGATAGATGCCGCAGTTGCAGACCTTGCTCAACTAATCCCACAGAAGTAATCAATCCACTTCTTAAGTGTTAAATTTAGTCTTCCTTATAATATATTATATTAATTTGTGTTCAGCACCTCCAATTCACTTTCACAACTTCTCGGGTCAGACGAATCGAGAAAACCGGATTATACTGTTTTTTGTATCATAAAGGACAATCCTTCCCTTGAATTTGCGGCATTATTCTTAGAAGGTGCAAAGCCAGTAAAGAAAGACGAATTAGGAGATAGAAAGTGTCAGTTAGATAAAGAACGACTTCAATCGATAATCAAATTATATTTTGATTATATTTTAGTTCGCATTCAATCTCTCTATGGAGAATTTTTAACAAGAGAACTTTCAAAGGAAATATTAGCTATTCCTCTTATTACAATGCAGGCAACTGGTATATTATTTAATTAAAAAATCTTTAGGATGAATGTATTAAATCTATATTACCAATAATATTTCTTATTACCTAATGGTTTATTGTGAATTGTTAGGAACTGAGCTAATCATAAGTATAAGCGATCAGCAAGCACTTCCTCTAATAAGGAGTTCTATTTTAGCAAGAGTAACTATTCCTTATTATAAAGGAGTAAATGCGAAAGAAAGGTCTATCCAAAAAACTCGAGCCAAAAATCTTGTCTTTTCAATGTGGAGAGTGAGAATGATTCTTAAGATAATTAGAGATCATTGGTCTAAAGTCATCAAAAAAATTCTTGAGTCAAAAGAAGCATCACCTGAACATAAGATCAGCTTAATAAATAAAAAGGCGAGATATATGAGTTTCGAGTTCGGAAAGCATGTACCTGTTAAATAAATCTTTATCATTTTTGTATTAGCAGGCTTGAAATCGGACTCGATCTAATCTTGTAAATAAATTTAATATGCTTTAATAAAAAAAAATAGTCATTGATTTTAAAGACAAATAATTCATAGTAATATTAGATAATCTGTAAATTTCAAATAAATTATTTTTACTTAGTTCATGGTTTTATATCTTTAATGTATTCATATGCTTTCTCTTACCATTTAAATATTTAATTAATATACTGTCTATTCACCTATTTCCTTTGCTTCATCAATTAATATTACATGAATTTCCACTCCCAAGTTGCAAAAATAATAAATTAGTCAAAAGACTATATATAGACTTTATTAGTGATAATAAGAAGACTTATATCTTTAGATCATTGAGAAGTGACACATATTCGTATTAGTATGTTAACTGTATTCACGAAAAAATAAACTAAGAATTAGATAGTACAAAAAATAGGCAATTTGGATAAAAGAACTTTTACAATAACAAAGTGAACTTTGACATTAGTTATTTTCTTTGTTTCGTGTAAAATTTATTCATGAAAATTGGGAATATCGCAAAAATAACAATTCGGTCAAAAGATCATATATAGACTCTATAAGAAGACTTATTCTTTGAATACAGAACAAGTACAATATATTCAATCTTGCTACAAACAACGTAAGAATCGTATACGTATTCGGAGCTTGTTTGTAACGGAGATATTTATAATTTTGTAAGACTTCTAATTTTGTATTAACTATATTATTATTTTGTTTTATGTTTACTGATTAAATAATTGTTAGAACAAATATTTGGGAACGAAAAGACTTTGATGAGTTGAATGAGGGATGGGAGGCATTGTTCATGACACCTCTTAATGAACTTTTTAAACGAAATCAAAATGCTGGAAGATGTGAAACTACAAAGTACGTGCAATTCAACAAAGTCTGTTTTTAATCTCATCTATACAAATATTTTAAATTTTTATTTAGAGGAGAGCAAGTTCTAGTTTATGTAAGCAATTGCAAAAGCAGCAAGAGAAAGGAAATTATAATATAGCAGATTCAAGAACTGAAAGCTGGCATACAGTTAATGTTCGTCGTCCAGATCATTCTATTAAATTAAAAATATTTAATGACCAAGAAATTCTTTTCGAAGAAATGTCAGGGTCTCCAAAAGGGACTGATAATGGTAAATTGGTCGATGATGAATGTAAACTAGCTCGTCTTGCTAATGACGCCGAGATTAGACGACATAATATAATTTTATTACCAAATGAACGATTTATCTCATCGGCTAGAAAAGCTGGAAATTTTTTTGTTCCATGTGCATGGTAAATATCTCAATGA